AATATTGTGACGTTTCATAAAACACTTGCATTTTCTGAAAATCATTAAAAAAAATTCTTAAATTTCTTACATACACTAAGTGGTCAATTTTAATTAAGATGCAAGGTACAAGCTGTACATTGATGGAATAGCTAATATAGATATTCGGGACCTTTTTTCAACTTACTAATACAGTAGTACAAATAAATCTTAACTAACGAATTTCAATATTCTTCCATAATTAGTCATTTACATACAGCCCAGTATTTGGGGGTGTCCTAATTAAATTTCATTGTTATGCTAAATTTACACTTTAATTAACTATACAGGGTGTTTCTTAATAACGTGCTAATATTTAAGGAGGTTATTCTTGGGTCCATTTTAAGAAAAAAACTTCATATGAACATAATACGTCCTAAAAGTCTTAACTTTTGAACTACAGGCTGCTAAAGTTTTATGAAAAAAACAATTTTTTATTCTAACTTTGGTATTACCCTAGATATTTTTTCAAATTTGGTACACGCCTTCTATTTTTCTTCAAAAATATTCAGTACAAAACCAGTACAAAACCTGTACAAACGACACTGGCAAAAATAATAAAATTGTTTGTACATCAGAAAATACATCTCGATGAATAGAAGACATGTACCAAATTTGAAAGAATATTTAGGGTAATACCAGTTATCATAAAAAAATGTTTTTTTATAAAACTTTAGCACCCTAATTCAAAAATTAAAATTCTTAGGACATATGTTCATATGAAGTTCTTTTTCTTAAAATGGACCCAAGAATAACCTCTACATATTTGCACGTTATTAAAAAACATCCTATACATTTTTAATTTAGATGGATTTACCATTATTCAAAAGTTTATATATGCCCTGATGTAAATTTTTTTTCCACGAAACTTCCAATAAAATAATTACATGTACATGTTAATATTCAAATAGTGACAAGTTGATTTATATCGTATAAATAATAATAATAATAAACTAGCTCTACAGGCCTAGTAGGCCCATGGCTTGATTGACCACTTTCTTCCATTCCTGTCTGTCCAGAGCTTTTTCCCTCCAACCTTGTACTCCCATTTGTCGCATGTCGTCTTCCACCTCCTTCTTCCACCTGACTCTCGGCCTTCCTTGTCTTCTTGTATTTCCTATTTTACCATTTATTATTGTTGCGGGAACTCTTTCTGGATGCATCCTCGTGATATGTCCCAACCATCTAATTCTTTGTGCCTTTATCACCCCTATTATGTCTGGTTCCTTGTATAATTCTTTTATTTCATTATTAGTACGTCTTTCCCACATACCGTTTACTTCTTTTCCTCCATAAATCTTTCTTAATATTTTACGCTCCCAGACTCTTAGTCTGTCCTGCTCTTCCTTTCTTAAAACCCATGTTTCGCTTGCATACATCACTATAGGTCTTATCATTGACTTATAAATCCTTATTTTTAGTGATTGAGTCATGTCTTTGTTTTTCAAAAGTCTCCTCATTGCATGTACACATCTGTTTCCTGCCATCAGTCTTGCCTGTATCTCTCTTTTTATATCTGGCCTTCTGGAGAACACTGTGCCTAGATATCGGAATTCCTCTACTTCCTCGAAATTGTATACTTTGTTATTTTCTGTTCTTATTGTCAATTTATTGCCTACTTTGTACTCTTTATCTGTCCATGTCATATACTTTGTTTTATTTTCGTTTATCTGCAATCCTACTTTTCGGGCCTCTCTCTCAAGATGTTTTAGTTTTGTTTTCAGTTCTTGCTGTGTTCTTGTTACGATTGCAATATCATCCGCGAACGCCAGACACTGGTGTCTTTTGTGGAAAAGCAACCCATTTCTGTTCATCTTTGCTTCTCTTATTATTTTTTCCAGTAAGTAATTAAATAGCACTGAGGAGATCGGGTCTCCTTGTCTTACTCCTTGTTTCACTTCAAATTTCTCTGATAGTTTTCCTTGGAACTTCACTCTGTTTTCAGTATGCTTTAGGGTTAGTTGTATCAAATTTAACAGCTTTCCTTTAATTCCTATTTCTTGTAATGCTCTACAAAGTTGATTTCTATTTATCCTATCGTACGCCTGTTTAAAATCCACAAATAACACGAATGTGTCTCTTTTGTATTCATAACTTTCTGCTTGTATTTCACGTAAGGTGAAAATCTGGTCCGTTGCGGCTCTGCCTTTTCTAAAACCACATTGGTATTCTCCTATTGTCTCCTCCATATGTTTTGATAAAATTTCTTTTATATACGTAGCGAATATCTTATAGGCCCCGTTGAGTAGTGCTATTCCCCGGTAATTTTCGCATTCCGATCTATCGCCTTTTTTATAGATGGGGCAGACCGCTGCTTCTGTCCATGCCTGCGGAATTTTTTCTTGTGTCCAAATTTTCTCTATTAACTTGTGGATTTTATCACAGAGCTCTTCTCCTCCATATTTAAACATTTCATTTGTTATTTCGTCTATCCCTGGAGTTTTTTTGGTCTTCAAGTTTTGGATTATCTGTCTTATTTTTTCTTTAGATGGTGGTCTTTCTATTTCTTCTTGTACTTGTCTCTCATAATTTTCCAGCACCTGTTCTTCCTCATCCCTATCCTCCTGGACGTTTAGTAGCTCATCGAAGACTTCCACAAATCTTTCTACTATTTTGTTACTGTCTAATAATAATTCTCCACTTTTGTTCTTGAATGCTATTGTTTTATGTACAAACCCCCTTTTGTTTCTGCTCTGAGTCCTTGGTATAAATTTCTGATGTTTTTCAATTTAAATTCTTTTTCCATTTCCTTGACAATTTTCTCGTTATATTTCCTTTTCTTTTCTCTCATATCGTATAAATAGTTTCACAAAAGTTCAAATTTAATAGAGATATTGAATTACATTGGAATATCTTCATATATCTAACTCTCAAAGTAACAAATATGCTTACAATTGTCTATAACAATCCCGTAAACTCCATTATAGCATTTTTCATTGAAATACTTTAAAAAGTTGAAAACATTATTTACAATTAAATAAAACTCGTTTTGAAAGAAAAATGGCACTAAAGTAACTTATTAAAATCAATTTATATATTATGGAAACGTTTTCTTTTTTTATTTAATTCTATTACAAAGCTAAGCTTACCTAAGCTCAATGTATAGTACAATACATAACCCTATATATTAAGTAGTACCATAAATTTTCTAATCATTTGCTCTAAATAATATTATTAAATCATTTCAAATATTTCTCTAATGTATATAATATAATAACATTGTAATAAAATAAGTTTACAGATCAAAATTATTCAACCCCATTATACAAGGTGATTCAGGTTTCAATCCGAATAACTTCATAAATCGATAGAACTGGTTAAAATAATGTTCATTCATGGTATAAACTTTTTTCTTAAATCACATCGTTTCGGAGATAGAGAGCTTTGAAGTAGGATAATTTTTCCCCATTTCTTAACACTAAAAATACTTTTGAAATAATACTTTTAACCATGATTTTCACAAACGTCTATACTTCGTCTCACGTTTATACAAATCGAGTTTAGTTTCTCATGGGTTGCTATAACGTTAAATAAAATTTATGGAGCTGGAGCACTACATTGTCACGAATTTCATTGAATATCTCAGAAACAAGGCCAAATATCGAAAAAAAAAACGAGAGACGAAACAGTTTCAAAATTGACAAAACAAAAGTGGTATGCACCTGTTTTATTAAAATTATTATTTTTTAAGTTTTAAAATGATGTATGGAGGGGATAACACACAAAATACACTTCTAAAAAGGGTGATGGTTCAAATTTAAGTAGCTTATGTAAGATCAAAAGGAGTGTTTGTGTTCCGAATTTCATCTCAATCGGATGAGTGGTTCAAAAGTTATGGGGAAAAAGCGGGAAAAAAATCTACTTCAACGCCCTCTATCTCCGAAACAATACGAAAAAAGTTTATATCATGAATAAACATTATTTTAACCTGTTCTATCGATTAAACCTAAATCACCCTATATAATTCTGTTAAATAAAAATTGTCCCCTTAAAGTAATATAAGAATTAGAAATTTTTTCGCTTATTTGTCTGACTATTTTTGATCTCATCAAATCTAAAGAATCCTCTTTAATTGAATTCAATATTATTAAACAAAAGCTCACTATACTATATAAAATTTATTTCTCAAAAATTCTTAATATATCTTTTTCACTTGAAATCATTTGAAACCTATATATCTCTTTGCAACTTTTTCAAATATTATCCAAAAATACCTTATATTTCTGTAAACAATCCTACCGATGTTTTCATTTCATATACAAATTTATCAATTTATGATAATACTACTACGAGGTATTGTTATTAAATATTACAACAGACATTTCAAATATATTCGTGTCTGATACATTATATTTTAAAAAGATGTAACAAACATACCTCTTTTGTAGCAAATATTATGACGTTCCATAAAACGTGCATTTTCTGAAAATCATTAGAAAAAAAATATAGCGAAAACAAACAAAAAAACCTTAACATTCTGAACGACGTTTATATTTTATGTCAAAAATAAACTTATATTTTTCTCCAATCTCTCCAGAAATTTCATTATAACAATTTTCATTATATTGTACGTATTTTAAAAACTTAAAAACTTTAAAAACTTGAAAAATTAACTAAATCAATATCTCTAAGACCTGTAAAAATTATAATAAACCTGCATATTTCATATTTTTTTATAAAAATAATTAAACCGTTTTAAAATAATATATTGCATGTCATTAAATAAACACATCTATATACATTCTATAATTTAATTTCATTTAATAATTTTTCAATAAACTAAATTATAATAAACCTGCATATTTCATATTTTTTTATAAAAATAATTAAACCGTTTTAAAATAATATATTGCATGTCACTAAATAAACACATCTATATACATTCTATAATTTAATTTCATTTAATAATTTTTCAATAAACTGGAATGTTATAAATCAAAAACATTAAATTTAAACTATAATCAAAATTAACAATTTTTTAGCACCTACCCGTCTGTTAAAACGGAAATTTTCGAGTGATTCTGAGGATGAATCACCTCAAATCGTCACTGTGGAAGTTATGATTCATCATAATGCCGATACTCATATTGAACAAAACTTCCCGGGATCTTCATCACTTGTTGCAGCTTCTACACATTCTAATAACACTCCTGTACCAATTTTAACCCCACCAATGCCTCAAGATGTTATAGAAATTGGTTAGTCCTTTCATTAATTTATTATCGTTACTAATAAATAATATAGAATAAATTATATAACCGTCAAAATCATTTACCTTTATAAATCATTACTTTTTTTTAATCTTTTCTTTCCAGATGTAGAGAACATAGGTGATGAGATAATTCCTGAATTATCTCCATCTTTATTAGATGACCTCCAAAATGAATTTGCTGATTTACCATTTAACAATCGGAGACAAACAGCAAATCAAATGGATGCCGCCATAGCTGATATTCCTACGAGAGAAGACATTCAACAAGATATAGAACGTCTACGGAATATCGAAAATCACTTACCAACATACCTTCTGGCTAGCGAAAGAATTGTACTAGGCGGAACTTACAATTTAGGTCCACTCGATCAAATTTGTATTCATTGTTCTGCTTTTTATTTTCGTGTAGAGCCCGCAAGTCGTGGACACTATACAAAATGCTGTCAACAAGGTAATGTAATTTTAGAAAATTTACCACCTATGCCTGATGTTTTAGCAGCTTTGTTTCAAGGCTTACATCCTTTGTCTGCCCATTTCAGAAGGTATATATTATTATATAATTATAGTTTTCAGTTTGTATCTTTAGAGGCAAACCTACGAGATCTCCCTGTAAGAGGTCCATATGTCTTTTCTGTTAGAGGAAAAGTATATCACCACATTTCCAATGTAAATGTTAATGAGCCGTTGCAACGCTACGGACCTATTTATTTTCTAGATCCAGACGATGCCGTCAATGCCCGAGCACAAAACAATAATCAAGTCTTAGACAGACGATTAATTGTTCTTTTGGAACAATTGCTAAGGGATATAAATCCCTATGCTAGGGCATATATGCACCTACGAGAACGTTACAATTTAGAACGGCAAACTATTGACATACTTCGAGCAGAAGCCGTTCGTAATAACGTAGAACCTCTCCCTTTACAAATGCCAAATATAACATTAGAATTGTTAAATGTTCGTGGAATGAACAGAAGGCAATACGATTTACCTAGAGTCGAAGAAGTTGCAGCTGTGTACAATTTAATGCCAGACGCCCCAGCAACTCCTAATATGCGTATTTATGTACGCGACGAACCCACCAGGTTCCAAAATGTCTCAGAGGAAAGTGAGCATAATGATCCATTAGTATTTCCTCTACTGTTTCCTCAAGGAGAACCGGGATGGTATATAGGAATGCCCCATAGAAATAATAATCGCAATATAACATTATGCGAGTATTATGCGCATCGTTTTGGAATTAGAAATAATGATTTCAGACTTAAATATGGAGGCAGACTAACACAACAATTTGCTGTCGCTGCGTATATCAAAATCGAAAATAATCGTATCAAATATATATTACGCAACCAAGAGAGGTTAAGAGTGACAGAATATGTTGGGTTGGCCAATTATCTACATCGTAGGGTCCAGGAAGGCAATGAGGATGACGAGGCCGCAACATTGGGTAGAATGGTCATTTTACCATCAAGCTTTATAGGATCTCCCCGATACCAACAACAGCTATTTCAGGACGCCATGGCAGTTGTTGGACGCTTCGGTACACCCAGCCTTTTCATTACGATGACAACCAATGCACGATGGACAGAAATAGTGGACAATATTCCCGCAGGTTATACTGCGAGTGACCATCCATCTCTCATGGACAGAGTATTCCAGTGCAAATTAAATGAAATGACCGGACTACGATTAGGCAAGACTGTGGTTGAAAATAAACCCCGGCCCTATAAGATTATATTTAACAATGCAGAAACAGCCCTCAATGTACTAAAAAATAAAAATAAACTACCGCCTCATGCAGGTGCAATAAAAATAAAACAGGACATGACTCCCAACCAAATGTCCCACCTCAATGAACTGCGTAAAGAACTGCAACAAAAATTGGAAACAAATAAAAATCTTACAATCAAGTATGTTAACAAAATACCGATAATTGTAGACGTGTCAGCACAAATACCCAATGCAAAAAGGAGCCGTGAGCAAAGATCACCCCAGGGACTCCCTCCCGGAAAAGTGCCAAAACCTGGCGTAGCTACCAGTCAGTAGCAATCACTTGATATACTTTTTTGGAACTGTCAAGGTATAAACAGCTTAAATGATATGGATATTCAAGAAATTAACCTTTTAAATAAATTTCCAATTATTGGTCTAGTAGAAACCTGGATTACCTCTGCCGAACCTAAACTTCCTAAATCATTAGATAACTATAACTTTTTTCATAGCCCAGCAACAAAAGATAAACAAAAAGGCAGAGGTAGTGGAGGTATACTGCTTCTTGTCTCAAAACCCATTGTAATAAAATCAGCAAACATTGTTAATATATGTAACATGTGGATATTTGTTCGAATACAGATAGTTAATCTTTTTATAATTATAGGTATTGTATACTTTAAACCTGGGTTGGATGATTGCACATGTATAGCGATGCTCGAAGAAACGGTTAGAGAAATAAGTGCCAAATTTCCCAATGATCAATTTGTTTTATATGGGGATTTCAATGCGAGGATAGGGTGTCTGGATTGCCTCAGCGGAGACAACCTCTTAGATAATGATTTTCCCTTGGAGCCTCGCGAATCAATGGATCGGGTAGTTAACACAAGAGGCACACTCCTCGTAGAATCATTAGAAAATCTAAGCTTTTTCAATCTGAATGGCAGATATGAAGATTACCAGGGGTGTTATACATATATTGGACGGATGGGCTGTAGTGTGATAGATCTTGTTTGGGTAAATTTTAGTAGTAGGGACCTAATATCAAACTTTTATGTTAATAAAACCTTTATCTCTGATCATTTTGGCTGTGTTGTATCCCTAGAAAACAAATATCAGCTGCATGAAAACACTGATGTGGATTTAGTCAACCGCGATAAAACTATTATTAGGTGGGATCCAAACAAATCTCAGTCATATAGAAAAATAATATCTGATTATAATCTAAACGCAAATCTAGATTCTGTAGAAGAATTAGACGTTCAGCTTAACGAAGCAATAAGATTATCCACAAAGTTTTTAGGTAT